TATATATATATATATATATATATATATATATATATACCATACAGAGGGTGTCTACAATTTTTCTCTTCAATTCGCATTAATATATACTTGAAATATGCTTACCAAATTTATTATTCAAACACGAGTCGATGCAAACACGAATGCACACACGGCCATATTATTATTATTCAAGTTAATTTAATTTTTCGTAAATACGTACTATAAAAAAAAACTTTAACTACCCGATAACGCAAAATTCTAAGATAGAAATCATGCAAGATTTCGATATATCTATCGAGATACACGCGTGTATATAGGTTATATTATTAAAGTTACGTTATATATATTTTCTTTCGGATAAAACGAAGAAATCTTTCATATCATTTTTTCGAATCGTTTTCGACCAACTTTAACGATATAACCTTTCTTTATATCCGTATACACATATTTGTGTGCATTAGATACGTATTTCTTGGCCAAGTGGTGAAATAAATTTTGAAGAAACCTTGCACTTGTATAGTTTTCTTTATCGGTAGAAATGAATTATAGTGGATTAATTTTTTGTTTTGCTAATGAAGCTTTTACTAAAATAATTAAACGTCTTCAAACCTCTATCACCGATATAATAGGTATTTATTTGAAACGTAATAATATCTTCTTTTCCATCATCATCGTAAAATATCTAGCATGTGTATTTATCAAATATACGGCTGCAGTATAATATTATATACTATATAAGTATATACTCGTTACAAGCAAATTAAAACCATTCCAAAGAATTCTTGGTCGCATTGATTGAGTAGAAAAAAAAAAAAAAAAAAGAAAAAAAAGTATACGCGTCTTTTAAGAATTCTACAGAATGTTTTATTCGATTTTACTTTTTACTTTTTACTGATTGTACGATATGTAATACATTTTATTATTTTATTATTTCAAATCACCTGCTATAATCGTCATTACTTGATTAATGCTGTCATTTACGGTGGCGATATATGCTTGCAGCTGAAACATTTCGTAACTTCTCGTTAAATAAATTTGCAATATCTATCACTAAGATATCAGTTATCACTAGAATAGGAATAATCACTAGATAGATTTTTTTTTTTAAAAAAGTATCTTACCATAATTTCCAAATTTTTTTTTTTTAACACGATACAAAGCTGTCAGATATTACTTTTTTACAATTCAATGATGCGCAGAATGATATTTTGATGTTGATCTCGATGTAATACTTGGCAAATGTTTGTCCATCACTTGTCGTCATGTTGTCAACGTAACAAGTAAATCACTTTGAAAATTTATGTATTCTCTGTGTATTGCGAAGAAATTGTGCGACTCAAACTACGAGACAAATAAAATACACAGATCAATTTTTTTATTTATTTACGTTCTCTGTATAATCATTGTAAGAAAGAAAATTTAATTAACCAACTAAAAATGTTTACCTGCGATTTCGTAAATGATTTTGTGTTACCATTAAAATACGTGACGTAATCATCTTTAGCATCATAATTTTATAATACACAAGGTTTAAGTCTACATAAAAATATTCTCTCTAATAAATCAATTATTATTAATATTTGTCCAAATGTCGAATTAAATCCCTATTTTCAAACGACTAATAGAACACACTTTTTATGCAAAAATATATCAAAATATATACGTTAAAAATTCGCGCGATCCAAAAAAAAAAAAAAAAATGAAAACGAAAATATAACGAATATATACATATATGTGTATGTGTGAGTAAATTTTTACACGCACCTTCGAATCAATATTTTCCATTTTTCGTGATAAATCTTGCAATGGAAGCACGATTAACAAAAAAAAAAAGAATTGTCGAGATGTGCAACGATATTGTATTTTGCAAATATAATCGTCTTCTTCATTCCGTTCTTCATCCTTCGACAAGATATTAAAAAAAAAAAAAAGAAAGGAACGATTTTCATTTGCAGATCGATATTGTTTCCTTCCTTTTTTTTATTTTTTTGTTAACGACGCGTTGTTGCGTGTTTAATTCGCGATCATATTGTATCGTTGTTGTTATTCACTGGTACGTATGTATGCACATGCATATAACCAACCAACGTTCGTGTGACGTATCATAATCGATAAAAATTGTGTAATTTTAATTTTTTTTTTTACTGGGGATACGATTAAAAAGCGGTAATAACAATAATGATTAATGAGAGTAGAGTTGGAAAAAAACTAATTTATCATCGTGTTACTTTGTTTTGCTCCTCGTTTCTACGTATTTAAACATCGATCGAAACCTCTAAATACGATTTGAGAATGCTAATGATAAAGCTGAAACATTATCTACCTATTTTAACTACCTACTTGTGTCGAGTCTTGTCCGTTTCTCGCAATAAAATAATAATAATAATAATAATAATAATATGGTATCGCATATCCAAACGAAAATAAAATTGTCTCTAGCTTGTTTCTTTAAACGAAAATAATAGTATTAGCTCTTACTTGTTTCAACGTGGGTAGACACGTAGTTGGCTAAACAAAACAATTAAATGCAATAATAAGCACGAATAACGATGAAGAGATTCGTCGTTCCTTTTATTATATAAGAAACAAAAGTAAAAATATATATATATATATATGTACGAAATTGTTATGACGATGTTAAAAATATGCAACGCATATTTTTTTAAACAATTTTTATAATGATCTCAGATAATTGCGAATAATAATAATAATAATAATAATCTTGAATTGAAATGTGTCAATTCTCTCGGCACACGGAAAATGACAAGTTTGACCACTAGTTGCCGATAATATTCTCGTTTGTTACTTGAAAATTGAACAATTCGTTATAATATTAGGTATACAGGAAAAAAAAGAAAAAAAAATTCTCTGCTAAATTTAAATATCTCTAAGATATTCCAAGCAGAAAAATACATCGTTGAAATTTCGCCACGATTCGAAAGATTATTTGCTGAATTGTTTTACAACGAATTGTAATCGATTATCGAGACAAGCCCTATCTGTCCCTTCTTGTAATATAACTACCTATTGAAAAATAGGTATTGTAACTAAAGAAAAAAGAATATTTCCAACTATCGGATAATTTACAAGATAAAAGATAAATTTCGTCAATTTTAACGATGCATTGACGAAACCAATACACGTATAATTCACGTAAGTCGTTGAATCGTATAATAAAATTTCATCATTGAGGAAAATAGAGGATTCCAATATTTTGTATTTCAAAAAAAGAAAAATTATAATAAATCTAAGTTTTTTTTGTTAAACATATCTAGCAAACTTGTTTGTACAGACAATTTTCTGCTTGGAATTGACGGAAATAATATAATAATTATATACTTACTTAACTATTAGATTAGATGTTTCTATTTAGAAACGATGGGTTAGTTAGAAGCGTCTTATGAATTAAAATAACGCATGACAATTGTGAGATATAAGAAAATGGAGAGAGAGAGAGAGAGAGAGAAAAGAAGCGACGAAAGGAAAATTTTAAATAATTTTTCAACTTTGTACAAACGATGGATCTTACAATTGTATATGTTTTTTCTTTTTTTTTTAACGTTGACGTATTTGGTATGGTAGGGAGATATAATTATTTCCGTCTACGTTTTATTTTTATTCGATTGAAATTGGGTCAGTTATTCGGCTTATCAATATATTAGTTAGTTAGGTGTTTGGTGTATTGTTATAATTATCATTTTTACCAAAAAAAAAAAAATGATTTGTTTATTATTTATTATTCAATTCCATCTTATAAATTGTACGTAAAACGATTATAAATAAATAGAAGTAACTTTTGATATTCAGATAAATCGAATTAATTTTTTTTTTTTTTTTTAGTATTTACGTCTTTATTATTACTAGTCTAGGAATTCTCGATCCCAGAAGAGGAGATCAATGGACACCATCGAATTTTTTCGAACAATGTCAATTATAAAAAACTGCTGCTCAGCATGGAAACACGGTATTGTCATGATTATCTAAAACTATTCGATAAATTCTACTTTATATTTAATAAGTACTCGTCGTAATCAAAGTGTTACACGATACAAAGTATCGAGAACTGATGAGTATTTTCAATATTTACAAAAGTAATGAAAATTTGTAATATTACAAATTTATAAATGATAACATTCAAACGTGGTAATTCGTAATCCCCTTTACAATCATGCAATAATAGAGATTGTTAATAATTTTTAGTATATCTAGGTAAGAAAAAAAAAAAAAAAAAAAGAAAAAGCGAAATGCAATAATATCATTAAATATCAAATTTTCAAAAATGTTTCGCCGGACAAGGTTAAAGGGAGAAGTTGACGGAGGGGAGGAGGAGGGGGTGGGGGACGATTAAAACGTTGAAAAGAAGAATTTCGTCTAAGAAAGAAGTACATTTTACCTGATCTGTACTAGGACTCCTCGCTTTGTCTTCGTTCTCTCGTTTCAACTCATCCTGACGTTTGGGACTGCGCAACACTCGTTGACACGGATCCACGTTGCCACCGATGTCGCCGGTGTTCAACACGATCAAAGAGATCTTCTGGACAATGTCTATTATCACTATACCGGACTCGTTCCCGTAAGCCATCCTGAGTGCGGAACGGAACTTTTTGTTTAATTAAAATAATCTTTCAAATCGACAATTGTTCTTATTACTTGAACACACTTACAAACCGTACGAAGAATTCAAACTGAGAGCTGTTATATTTTCAGCTTGTTCCCCGCTAGCGGTGATCGTTAAGCAAACCAAGGTTGCTTGAAAACCGGCGGCTCTCTTCTGTAAACCGGTCTTAATTTTGAGCGATTGGCTCGATTCGTTATTTTTCGCCTCGCTGCTAGCCGAAGTATTGCCGGCCGGTGAATCGTGATCCGACGAAGTTTCCGCTTCCTTGACTCCCGGCTCGGCCGTCAGTGATATCTCCAAAGTCTATAATCAGCAAATCATTACCGTTGCAATTTCCAATTTTATCGTCACAATCGTGTTGTAACGTTATTTCACAATTATGCAAAGAATAGCAAGAATATTACGTTGACAAATTAACGTATAAAATAATTTTATATATTTTAACATTTTATCCATCTTTACATGTAAAGAATGTTAATTTATCGAATATCGAGATTAATAATGAAATATCGTTACAAAAATTCCTTACAATAACGTGCTCCCATTCTATTCTTCTTATTTTTCATTACTTCTTATACTACATTACTCTCTATTTTTATATATTTTCACTATTTTTCCTTCTCTCTATTATCAATTTCTAATAACGAATAGAAATAATTTCGTTATTTAATAAACGTGAAATTCATCTCGAACTAATAACCCTTGTTCTCACATTCACACTCTGTTATTTTTTCCCCTTCTCTTACAGCATTTACGCTTTATAAGATTATTACTTAGGGATCTATTCTACGAAGCGGATATATTTCATAAAAGGAATCGAACAAAATAAATAAATATTTATCGTTCGAATTGCAAGCGAGAGCGCAAAGGGTTAATAATATCATTTTCTTTATCGATTATTGCACGATTATATATGATACTAGGCGATACTCCTTAAAACTTTTATAAACTTATAAGATCGCAAATGTAAAAAGAATTAATTACTTACCACCACCTCGGACATACTCTCAACTTTTTTGAATTTAAATAAGACGACGTGTCTTCCACTTCCCGCGATCGCCAATTTCCGACTTTCGGGACAAAGGAAGATGAGCTGTATCGCTAAAGGATCTTCCTCCGAATCTAAACTACGCGTTCTACCTTTTTCAAAAAGTTTCGCTGTCTTTAATTTGTAAAGAACTTGTAACGTGCCCGCTGATGCGTCCCAAAATTTTATACTGCCGTCAGCGTGCCTGAAAATATTTCTTCCCTTATTCTCTATTCGCCATCGGAGAGAAAACCTTTAAAACATATGATATAATTCTACTCTTTCAAAATTTTTCTCTTCCCAAATTACCCGGTCAAAATAATTTCATTGTAACCGCTCGAGCTCGAGCTCCATTCGCCACCGGATATCGGCCAATCCTTCTCGCTGAATCCCGCCTTTTTCTGAGACTTCGATCCAACCGAATAAAAAGCTGGCACTAAATCCGAAGGGCAGTCCGCGAAATAGGCGCAACACGTGACGGGTGACTCGTGTATGTCCATCGGATACGGATTTTCGAAACACGGGAATCCGGGAGTTAATAAATCTATCACAACCAAGTCGTTTTGTAACAGGACCACAACAGCGTATGGATCTTGATAATCTGTGGGAAATAAGATTAATATTTAAAATTTATATACAATTTGTGTAAAAAAATTCGGTATTAGCATAGCATATCCATTCATTGGAAAATATATATGTTTGTAAGATAATTGATCAATAGTACCACTGGTCCACGGATTTTCGCAGAGTGTTATAAAGTCTATCACATTGTGCTCCATTTCTAGTACAGTGGTAGTTTTCCCGTGTATCACCGTTATACTTGGAGTTCGTCCAGTTGTGTCGTACGCCAGACCACCGGAAAATATGACGTACGCTTCCCTGAATTAAAATCGGAATTATGTCCATACATTTTTTTACAATCGCGGGACATAAATATTTGTTCAAAAAAGAATACCCTTACCCTGATCTTGACAGCTTCCATTCGACCTTTTGTATCGGTTTACAAGGTTCTGGCTCGCCATCTTTCGTAGTTTTCGCTGTGTATATAAAATATCAATGATCAATGAAATTACACGTTTTACATCGAAGCATTCTTTTAAAATCCGTTAAAAAAAAAAAGAAATAAAACGAGAAAATTTCTTCTTACCGTGTGGATGCGTTACATTCGTTGGTTTTAATTGACGCACTGTCCACGTTGACAGGGAGCCATCGGTATGACTGCACATAAACTGTTTACCCTCGTGGTGCCAAGATATCGATCTTAAAGGTACGTCGCTTTGGCATCTGTAATCCGCATTTTTCGTCTTCAAGTCCCAGAAAACTATTTGCCCCGACTCGTATCCTATCAGCATCTGAAATCAAAGATTGAACGAATGAATAAAAAAAAAAAAAGAAGAAAAGAAG